CAGATAGAGCTGTGTGTTGTGGCCCCCAGAAGCCATTGGAGCTGGCAGCAGATTCGGACAGTGAGGAGGGTTGGGGAGGAACCTGGGCCAGTCCTGGAGTCTGGGGAAGGCTCGGACGAGGGCTCTGTGTCGAAGGCAGAGAGGGGGGCTAGAGCCGTCTGACAGTTATCAGCTGCCTTCAGAGTCGGACATCAGTGAGGCAGAAGAGCAGCTGGAGCCTGTTCCCAGCTGCCAAGAGAAGGGAACAGCTAAGGAGCAAGGGTTGATTGGGCGTAAGGCCACAGGTGGAAGATGAATGGCCCCTCCCAGACGAAATAAAAAGGGAGGGAAAGGGGAGTGGAGTTTGCAGGAGACCCCCTAGTTTGCTTGCAAAAATCCTTGTAAGTCTCCGTGGGGGGGAGGACCTTGGAACTTCGAAATTGGATTGGGGGGAGATCTGTCCTAAGTCAGGGACTGCCTTTCCCCGCCAGCCATTTTGTGTGCGTGGCCCCTCATGCCATCCAAACTGGCCTCCTAACTTGTGAGCACCTCCTCTTTTTGGGCAGTGCCCGCCACCAAGCCCACCGCCCACGTTCCATCGGTGGTGACCATTGGAAACAAGGCGGTCCTGAGGTGTGAGGAGACCGATGCCAACCCCCGGCCGACTTTCAAGTGGTTCAAGAACAATGTCCAGATGCCCCCCGATCCCAAAACCAGCACCATCTTCAAGAATTCGTCCTACACCATCGACCCGGACACCGGCGTGCTGGTATGTTCCTCTGTTACTGACTTTAAGATGTGTTTATCGTGGGGGGGAGGAGGGGGCTGCAAGCAGGATGCCCCACTTCCACCCAGTACTCACAAACAATTGCCGCTCTAGGACGCTGCACTCACTCTCCTGAATGGCCCAGGCATTCCAGAGTTATGCTGGAACACACAGACACACATACAGACAGACACACACCCCAGGAGTGTCCTCCCCCCACCCCGTCATCTGTGTACCAAGTTCGGTTGAAATTGCTTGAGGCACTCCAGAGTTATTCTATATTTTATTCTAATTCTATTCTATATTCCTATTCTATTCCATTCCATTCCTTATTCTGTTCTGTTCTATTCCTTATTCTATTCTATTCCTTATTCTATTTCTTATTCTGTTCTCTTCCTTATTCTCTTCCTTATTCTCTTCCTTATTCTGTTCTATTCCTTATTCTGTTCTATTCCTTATTCTATTTCTTATTCTGTTCTATTCCTTATTCTGTTCTATTCCTTATTCTCTTCCTTATTCTATTCTATTCCTTATTCTATTCTTTATTCTGTTCTATTCCTTATTCTGTACTATTCCTTATTCTATTCTATTCTATTCTGTTCCATTCCATATTATTATTTATTCCTTATTCTATTCCTTATTCTACTCTATTCTATTCCATTCCATTCTATTCTATATTATTATTGTGTTGTGTTCTGTTCTGTTCTATTCTTTTTCTATTCCATTCCATTCTATTCTATATTATTATTGTGTTGTGTTCTGTTCTGTTCT